GCTTGTCTGGGAATTGTTTCATCCCTCCTTCATATTTAAATGATAATCATGCTGAATACAGTATTCTTGGTTCAAATCTCTTCTGTCTCATTGCATTAAATATATCATGCCATTCTCTTCTGGCCTGAAAGGTTTATGTTGAGAAGTTTGATGATAGACTGAAGGGTTTTCCTTTGTAGGTAATCTTTTTTCTCTCTCTGGCTGCCTTTAATACTCTCCCCTTGTCTTTGATATTTGCCATTTTAATTATTATATGTCTTGGTGTTGACCTCCTTGGGTCCTTTGTGTTAGGAGATCTGTTAGCTTCCATGGTCTGAGAGACTATTTTCTTCCCTAGCTTGGGGAAGTTTTCAGCAAGTATTTCTTCAAAGACACTTCCTATCCCTTTTTCTCTCTCTTCTTCTTCTGGTACCCCTATAATACGAATATTGTTCCGTTTGGATTGGTCACACAATTCTCTTAATATTGTTACATTCCTGGAGATCCTTTTATCTCTATCTGCCTGAGCTTGTCTGTATTCCCATTTTCTGATTTCTATTCCATTAACAGTCTCTTGCTCCTTGTCCAGTCTGTTCTTAAGCCATTGTGTCGATTGTTTCATTTCTATTATTTCCCTCCTGACTTCATCCCTAGCTCTTGCATATTTCTCTGCAAGTCCATCAGCATGGTTATGACTTTTATTTTGAATTCTTTTTCAGGAACATTGGTTACATCTATCTCACCAGGCCCTCTCTCTGGGGTTGTCTGAGTGATTTTTGACTGGACCAGATTCTTCTACCACAATAGAAGTGGTCGCAGGCAGGTTGCATGTGTGTCAGCTGGGAGATCAAAGTCCCTTCCTGCTTATTGGTCACCTTGGACTTCTCCACTGCCTGTGCCGGATACCCGCACACCGGGAGCAGACTCTGGGACAATCTCCTGAGCTGCTGTGGGTGGAGCCACCCTTGGGCTAGCCTAGAGCACTGTGGAGAGTTGCAGACGCACCGGGTGTGTTCTCCTGCAAGAACAGTGAGCCTTCGTGCCTTCAGGACCTTGCTCCGGCTCCCCCTCCCTGTCCCGGTTAGCTGCACACTAGGAGGAGACTCTGTGTGGTTGCTGTGGGCGGGGCCACTTCCCAGCTGTTCTGCAGCTGTGGCAGGTCAGCTGGTTTAGTTGTAGCGCCATCCAGGGGGAACAAATGGCAGGCTGCTTATTGCTCTGAGGTGCTTCGGGGCTTTTTTACCCGCCAGGGTTTAGAGGGCCTGAAGTTTCTCAAGATTCCCAGCCTGCGGGGCTGAGTGTGGTGGGTCAATTTTGTTCAGCTCTTGAGCCCTCGTCCCTTTAAGCCTTTTAAAAAGCACTCCCTTTTCTTCTGTGCCAGGGGAGCCAGCTGTGGAGACCAGCTTGCAGTCTCTGTCTTGGACTCTACCCTTCTGTTTCTCTAATATCCAGCACACCATGCAATATGTGTCTGCCCTCCCAGTGCAGATTACTAGGGCTGGTTATTTAGCAGTCCTGTGTATCCACTCCCTCCCCACTCTGACTCCTTTCCTCCCGCTGGAGAGCTAGGGTCGGGGGAGTGCTCGGGTCCCGCTGGGCCACGGCTTTGTATCTTACCCCCTTCATGAGATGCTCAGTTCTCGCACACGTAGATGTAGCCTGGCTGTTGTACTGTACCCTCTGGTCTCTTGTTTAGGAATAGTTTTATTTTCAAAAATATATACGGTATTGGGAGGAGATTTCTGCTGCCCTACTCACGCCGCCATCTTTAGCCGAAGTCATTTAACGTGATTTTTACACGTACATTAACACAATTTCCTCCAAATACTCAACAATTCTGTCTCAAACTAATCATTCTGATTTCCTTTCGGTTCTAAAACACATTTTTTCCAAAATGTAAAAACCAAAAGCTAAAACCTGTTCTTCAGCTTTGCTTTTGGCTTCCCTAGTTACAAAATAGTAAGTTTTGGCTTCTTGATTTTCAAAATGGATTTTACTAATAAAATGGATCAGGTTTAGCCTTTGTGAGCTCCTGCTTAAGAGAGTTAAATTTATTTGTTTAACACTTTTGTTGTAAAATACTTCAAAAATAGAAAAAAGTATTCCGCTCTTAATCTTAACACAGTCCACATTTGGTTAGTTTTTTATTAAAGGAAATATACATAGCTGGAGTCTAATTTGCTCCTTCCTTCCAAGCATAATCACTTCCTTAAATTTGTTTGTTTTTGTTTTTTTTTTGAGAGGGCATCTCTCATATTTATTGATCAAATGGTTGTTAACAACAATAAAATTCAGTACAGGGGGGTCAATGCTCAATGTACAATCATTAATCCATCTCAAGTCTAATTCTCGTCAGTCTCCAATCTTCTGAAGCATAACGAACAAGTTCTTACATGGTGAACGAATTCTTACATATTGAATTTGTTTTTTGTATTTGATACACATTTATACTTCTATATTGTAGACATATTTAGTACTGAAGTTTTCAGGCATTATATAATACAAGTAATTCTGCAACTGGTTACTCTCATTTTTTAAGATTTATAATGGCTGATTCATGAGGTTCTAATTCATTCATCTTAATTGCTGTGTAAAAATTTGTTGTATTAACGTTTGCTAGTTAACGTTAAATCATGTTAAGTTGTTTCACTTACAATTTTTAACAATTATTAATAAAGCAGTTTTGTTTTCTCCTTTCATTCAATAGTTACCTATCTTTTCTTTGATTTATTCTACCAGTGAGAGTTCTACTACAATAGTAAAGAGAAGCTCAATGTGGATTTGTTTATTCCTCCTTTAAATTTTGGTAATTTTTGCCTTTATACTTTGGGAGTATTTTGTGTGGTGCATACACATTCATACTTTTTATGTCTTCTTTTATAGACTGGCCTTTTTTTTATTATGTCGTATTCCTTTTTTATCCCAAATAATGCCTTTCACATTAAGTTGCATTTGTTGTTATGTCAATACTATTTTGTAATTAAGTCCTCTTCACCCTTGTCGGTTTGGACACTAAAACAGTGCATATTTAAACATTTTCCTAATAACATATATGTTCTACATTTTTAAACTTCTCACTAGCAAAATTTCTCAGATTCATCACTTAATCTTATTTTCATTTGTTACATGTTTATACTTTACAACTGTGCTTTAAATGTTTCTATAGCACTTGTTTTTTCAAAATAACAAGTATATTTGAATTATCTCTGAAGGTATTAATAGTTTTAAAAAAGTTTCTTCTCCTTTTAGTCCTTTTTTCTTTCAAGTTCATTTTGTGTTTTGTTTTTAGTGTCTATCTCTCATGTTGGAGAATTCCCTCAGAAGTCTGTTATCTTTGATTGTTTGCTCATTTAAGAATGGCAAACCAAAAACCAAAAAAAAAAAAAAAAAGTTGACAGGTAGTCTGAATGGTTGGAGCTTACTGATTGAACTCATTGAAGGGTAATCTGGCTTTTTCTTATTACATTATTATCTTTAAGATTTGGCCTGGTCAGATTCGCCAAAGAAATTCCTTAGTCTTCTTAAGGATAGTATTGCCAAGTATATATATATATTCATTTAATCCCTATTTAGTAGTGCCATACCTCAACTACCAATGCAACCCAGAGATCTTCTATTTTATCCTCTCCAGATAATACACTTTCCATGATTCTTCATTCTGGCTACATGGAACTGAAGAGGGTATTTAGTGATCTGACCTGTTTTAAAGAACTTTCCATCAAAGCCCCTTTCCTTTAACTCCCACTTTCAGGCTTCCTTACGTCACAAACTCCTGAAGCTTCTGGACAAACCTGTGAAGCAAATCAGTTGGTTGTTGCCTTTTCTTACTGCTGACCTAGGATTTAACTCTCCTTGGTTCGTTAAGTCAGTTACCACTGATAGATTATCTGCTTCGAAGTTCCAGAATTTTGTTACTTCCTTTCCCATTCTCTCCACTTTTCAGGGTTTATGCCTATCTATTTTTTAATTATGGAGTTAAACATATTCAAACATAGGTGGAATAACATGACTCACCATGTCCCATCATTCAACTGCAATAATTATAGCCTCATGTCCACCTCTGCTTCATCTATATCCTGTTCACTCCCCAACTTCCCATATTATTTTGAAGAAAATCTAAGATATCAACCATTCCATTAATAGATATCCAAGTATCTTTTAGCAATAAGTAAATAAGGCCTTCTTAAAACAAAACAAACCAAAAAACCCACCAAACTACACTTCCACTATCAGCCCCAAGAAATGCAGCAACACTTCCTTAGTATGTGGCATACCAATATACAATTATCTAATAAAGACAATAAAAATTTTTTCCTTGGGTTTCTGTTTCAATCAGGATCCAAATAAGGCCTGCACTATAATTGGTTAAAGACCCTTAAATCTCCTGTAGGTTACAGTAGAGTTTACCATCTTGGCATTTTGAGAAGCACAGTTCTTCCTTTTTGGGTGGCTCACTGCATCATTCACCTCTACCTACTAGATGCCAGTAATATGCTCATAGTTGTGAGATCCCAGGATAGAGGGACTGGGACACAAAACCATGTCTTGTTGAGAACGATTGGTTTATAGATGGCCTCTCTTTATGTCCTCCTCTCCTACTATTTATTTGTTGAAGAATGTACCAGGATCATCAATGAAACTTGTTTTTCAATTATCTAAAATTGGCAACATGCTATATTCTCATCACTAAAGAAGATGCTAAGTAAACTATGGAATATCCATACTATAAACTACTAAGCAGGCATTTAAAAAATGAGATAGATTTATACAAATACAGGTGGGAAGACCTTTAAGACCTACTCTTTGTCACCAACTTACAAATGGACATATTGTTTGATGACATTATGTAAAACCCAACCAAACTGTTAACAGTGATATTTTCTAAATTGGAACTTGAATTGACAGTGAAGGTTAAGGGATCTTTAACATTATCTGTAATCCTTGAACCTTTTATAGGGTACTAGGTTAAGTACTTTTCATAACTAAAAATAAAATTAAAAAGAAAACAAGAATGTTCTTACCTAGATGATTTTGTAGCTCTCGAGTCTGCCCATCCTCAGTTGGAGTAATGAGATCCCATATGAAGCCTTTAATTTTCTCATCTCCTCGATAGTGAATAAGGCAATATGCTAAGAGTGCTCGGCAAATTATTTCTACATCATGCTCATTTAGCTGCCTTTTAAAACGGCCATGAGACAGAATCTCTCTCCATCGGCCCCATCTGGTTGAAGAGATATATTTATTTACATTAATGCTAACTTGTAGAGAATAATGTTAACAGATAAAAGTTTTGAAAAGTCCAAAAAAACATTTTGTCATCAATAGGGTTTACATCTAATATTTTCACCTATGAGTAAAATACAGAGCCATGGTATAGTAACTTCTAGTTTATTTTATTCAATAATGACTAACAGCATTATCCATTTTGCATTATTGGATATGCTAATATGAGAACAAGGAATGTGACATTAGTGATGCATTTGTAATTTAAAACAGGGGCATCCCATGGTTCTATTAAATATATGTAAAACATATAAATTTAGGTACTTTAAAAATAGATTTGACTGATTCTAAAAGATAACAAATATACAATATAGTATATGCTCTCTATAACTTTATATATATCAGGCTACTGGTAAAAAATATTAAAAATAGTGTTTTACCCATAAACTAGCAGATTTTTCTCTACTCTAAAGCATTCAGTTCTTCCATAGCCATTGGAACGATCACAGGGTCTCCGGAGTTTGGGCTTTTCATCACCTTCACTTTCAGCTTCAGATAATTCAGCCAATTCATCTTTTGTGGCACTAAAGGGTCTTGTTTGCTTTCTAATTCTTGGAGTGTCAATAACCAAACTGTTCTGTAAAATTTAATAGCTATTACTTGAATGTTTTTTTGCAATGTTTTATGTTGTCACCTTTCAAATTGTACAAACATTGAAGTATAGAAAGCCAGAAAAAGAAATCACTCATGAGTCCATTAACCTACCACATCAACTTAAAATTTTTTATACTATGTTAAAATCTTCATTACCATATATATGTAATTTTATGACATTATACTTATAGGATAAAAGTTACTTGCAGTGTTATTATTAATATGAAAGATGTATGATTCTGCAATAACCAAAAATATACTTTGAATTAATGCTTAATTTTCTTAAATAATAATTTTAGATTATTTAAAAATTTTTAAATAAATTAGGCTAAAATAAGTCTTTGTGATTTAAGTTTATCCTAAAGATAAATTCAAATGAAGGGAAATATCCAGGAAAGGAAACATTGGTCAAAGGACATAAATATTTTGTAGATCTAGAAACATGTTTCATGTTTTCCAAAAGTTATACTAATACACAAAAAGCAAGGTAGGAGATTAAACAGAAGGGTGGCCTAACAAGCAAGGCAGACCCCTTGTCCCGCAACCACATATAACATGAAAATACAGCAAATACAACTAATCCTGAAAGAGCGACCAGAAAGAAGACTGCAAGAGACGGCCTATACCTGGGAAAAAGAGAAGACCTCATGGAAAACGACAAAGTAGCAATGCCGTGATCCAGCAGGATCCAAGCTCTCCTGACTCCAGGTCATCGGCAGGAGGAAGAGAAATGGAGCACAGAGGGAGTAGAAGCCCAGGACTGCTAAATACCCAACTCTGGAGATCTCCTCTGGGAGCATGAACCCACATTACATGTTGCTCTGGAGATTAGAGGGGATGGAAAGAAAACATGGGCAGGATATGCAGAGGGACAAAAATTCCAGCCACTTGTGGAGCAACTGGCTGCTCTGGGACAAAAGAAAAGTTGGGTACTTTGAAAGACTTTTCAATAGTGAGAGAGCTGCTAAAGAAAGTTACACAGAGCTTGCTGCTCAGGAGAAATAATAGGGTGAAAAAAATGATCCTGACACACTCAGCCCAGTAGTCTGGGAACTTTCAGGAGCTTCAGGCACTCCACCCTCTGGCTGGCAATGCAGCCCCAAGACCCCCCATTGCAATACGCAGCCTGTGGCTCCTTCCCAGAGGACAATACTGGTTTGCAAACCTGCTACCCCCTCCATTGAGCCAGACTAGCCAGAGAGCGGCCCTGCTGGCAGAGGCACCCCTCTCAACGCTCAGTCCACTGGTCCTAGCAGTGGAGGCAGGCACTGCGGCCTGGAAGCAGGAAAGACTCTTTCTTCCTGGGAGGGACTGGCGCCATGCACCTGTAACCTGCACCATCACTCAAGGGGCTGGGCAGCTCCAGACTAGAGTTTCTGGGCACTAGAGGGTACTGCCAGCACAAAGTTAATTATTACATAGGAATCATTACAAATATGAAATGGAAAAAGAACCTGTCACAAACCAAAATCCCTCAAACATCAGAAAGGGGACTAAGTGAAACTCAAATCACCAAACTTCCTGATAAGGATTTCAAAATAAAAATCATAAACATGCTCACAGAGCTACAGAAAAATATTCAAGAATCTAGGGAGGAATTTAAGAAAGAGACAGAAACTTTGAAAAATACAGTATCTGAAATGAAACATACAATGGAGGGATTTAAAAGTAGATTAGATGAGGTACAGTAGGTAAATGAAATAGAAATTAGAGAACAGGAATACAAAGATGCTGAGGCACAGAGGAAAAAAATGATCTCTAGGAATAAAAGAATATTGAGAGAACTGTGTGACAAATCGAAATGACACAATATTCACATTATAAGGGTATCAGAAGAAGAAGAGAGAGAAAAATGGATAGAAAGTATCTTTGAGGAAATAATTGCTGAAAACTTCCCCAATCTGGGGAAGGAAACACTCTCAGGCCATGGGAGTGCACAGAACTTCCAAGACAAGGTACCCAAGGAGGACAACACCAAGACATCTAATAAATAAAATGGCAAAAGATCAAAGACAAGGACAGAGTATTAAAAGCAGCCAGAGAGAGAAAAAAGATCACCTACAAAGGAAAACCCATCAGGCTATCATCAGACTTCTGCAGAAACCTTAACAGGCCAGAAAGGAATGACATGATATATTTAATGCAATGAAACAGAAAGGCCTTGAACCAAGAATACTCTTCCCAGAAAGATTATCATTTAAATTTGAAGGAGGGATTAAACAATTTCGAGATAAGCAAAAATTGAGGGAATTTACCTCCCACATACCATCTCTACAGTGTATTTTGGAGGGACTACTTTAGATGGAAGTGTTCCTAAGGTTAAATCAACTACCCACAAAGTCTCTCAAGGGATACACAAAGAGTACACAATATGACACCTAATATATAAAGAGTAGAAGAAGAAGAAAAAGAAGGGAGAATAAAAGAAGAATCTTTAATTGTGTTTGACCTAGCATAATAAGCGAGTTGAGTTAGACGGTTATATAGTGAAGATGCCCTTGAACCTTTGGTAACCATGAATCTAAAGCCTACAATGGCAATAAATACATATCTACTGATAATCACCCTAAATGTAAATGGACTGAATGCATCCATCAAAAGACATAGAGTTACAGAATGGATGAAAAAAAAAGACCTATCTGTATGCTGCCTACAAGAAACTCACTTCAAACCCAGAGACATATACGGACTAAAAGAGAAGGGAAGAGAAAAGATATTTCATGCAATTAATAGGGAGAAAAAGGCAGGACAAAACAGACTTCAAAACAGAGAAAGTAACATACAAAGAAGGACATTACATGATGACAAAGGGGTCAGTCCAACAAGAGGATATAACCATAATAAATATCTATGCACCCAACATAGGAGCACCTAATTATGTGATACAAATCCTAACAGAATTAAGGGGAAATAAAATGCATTGCATTCATTTTAGGAGACTTCAACACACCACTCACTCCAAAGGACTGATTAACCAGACAGAAAATAAGAAAGGAAACCAAGGCACTGAACAACACCTTAGAACAGATGGACCTAACAAACATCTACAGATTTTTCTCAAGTGCACATGGAATGTTTTCCAGAATGGATCACATACTAGGCCACGAAAAGGGCATCAGTAAATTCAGAAGGAATGAAATTGTACCAACCAGCTTCTCAGACCATAAAGGTATGAAACTACAATAAATTATGCAAAGAAAACAAAAAAGCCCATGAACACATAGAGGATTAACAACATGCTCCTAAATATCAATATATCAATGACCAAATAAAAGCAGAAATCAAGCACTATATAGAGACAAATGAAAACAAAAACTCAAAACCTGAAAATCTGTGAGACATAGGGAAGACACTTCTAAGAGGAAAGTACATACCAATAGAGGCTTACCTCAAGAATGAAAAACAATCCCAAATGAACAGTCTAAGTTCACAATTAATGAAGCTAGAAAAGAACAAATGAGGCCCAAAGTCTGCAGAAGGAGGGACATAATATAGATCAGAGCAGAAAGAAATAAAATTAGGAAAACCAATAGAAAGAATCAATGAAAACAGGAGCTGGTTCTTGAAGAAAATAAACAAACTAGATAAACCCATAGACTTATCAAAAAAAGTGTTTGCACATAAACAGAATGAGGAATGAGAAAGGAAAAATCACTATGGACACCACAGAAATACAAAGTATAATTAGAGAATACTATGAAAAATTATATGCCAGCAAGATAGATAACCTAGAAGAATGGACACTTTCTAGAAAAATACAACCTTCCAAGAATGACCCAGGAAGAAAAAGATCAATTACCAGTAATGAAATTGAATTGGTAATCAAAACACTACCTACAAACAAAAGCCCTGGACCAGATGGCTTCATCACTGAATTTTATCAAGCATTTAGAGAAGACCTAATACCCATCCTTCTTAAAGTTTTCCAAAAAGTATAAGAGGAGTAAATACTTCCAAACACATTCTATGAGGCCAGTATCACCCTAATACCAAAACCAGGCAAAGATCCCACAAACAAAGAAAATTACAGACCAATGGTGAACATAGATGCAAAAATACTCAACAAAATATTAGCAAACCAAATTAAAAAATACATCAAAAGGATCATGTATTATGATCAAGTAGGATTTATTCCAGGGATGCAAGGATGGTACAATATTAGAAAATCCATCAACATTATACACCACATCAACAAAAAGACAACAAAATTCACACGATCACCTTAGTAGATGCTGAAAAAGCATTCAACAAAATTCAACATGCATTCATGATAAAAACTCTCAACAAAAGGGATATAGAGGGTAAGTACTTAAACATAATAAAGGCCATATATGACAAACCCACAGCCAACATCATACTTAACAGCAAGACGCTGAAAGCTTTTCCTCTAAGATCAGGAACAAAACAGGGACGCCCCACTCTCCCCACTGTTATTCAACATAGTACTGGAGGTCACAGCCATGGCAATCAGACAAAACAAAGAAATACAAGGAACCCAGATTGGTAAAGAAGTCAAACTGTCACTATCTGCAGATGACATGATATTGCATATAAAAAACCCTAAAGACTCCACTCCAAAACTACTAGAACTAATATTGGAATTCAGCAAATTTGCAGGATAAAATATTAATACACAGAAATCTGTTGCTTTCCTATACACTAACGATGAGCTAGCAGAAAGGGAAATCAGGAAAACAATTCCATTCACAACTGCTTCAAAAAGAATAAAATACCTATGAATAAACCTAACCAAGGAAGTGAAAGACCTATACCATGAAAAGTACAAGACATTCATGAGACAAATTAAAGACGACACCAGTAAATGGAAATACATCCCGTGGTCATGGATAGGAAGAATTAATATTGTCAAAATGGCCATCCTGCCTAAAGCAATCTACAGATTCAATGCAATGCTTATCAAAATTCCAACAGCATTCTTCAACAAACTAGAGCAAATAGTTCTAAAATTCACATGGAGCCACA